ATTCGGAGAGCAACAACAGCCAACGAGCTAGCCTACCCCTTCAAGAGACCAAAAAGTGGTTCACAAGTCAAGGTTAATTTTGAGATAAACCGTCTTATGAATTGCACTTTACCCAGAAAGTCTCGCACTTCATTTTCAGTCCTTAGTGGTGGCATTTCTAAGATGGCCTTGATCATTGAAGGGTCGACCTCGATGCCCCTTTGTGTAATCAGAAATCCTAGCACTTTTCCCGCTGTAACACCGAACGTGCACTTCTGAGGATTTAGCCGCAACCGAAATTCTCTGATCCTTTGAAAGAACTTTTGCAAGGCGGTGTAGTGGCCCTCTCTTTCTTTGGACTTGACAATCATGTCGTCCACGTATACCTCAACCTCTTTGTGGATCATATCATGCAATATTGTAGTCGCAGCCCGTTGATATATAGCTCCAGCATTCTTTAACCCAAACGGCATCACTCTATAGCAGTAAGTCCCCCACGGGGTGGTGAAAGCAGTCTTTTCCCTGTCTTCTGGTGCCATCACTATCTGATTGTAACCTGAGAAGCCATCCATGAACGAAAGCAAAGCATGCCCCGCTGTGAAATCCACCAACTCGTCAATGTGCGGCAGGGGGAAGTCGTCCTTCGGACTGGCTCTGTTCAAATCCCTGAAATCCACGCACACTCGGATCCTGCCATCCTTCTTCGGCACTGGGACGATGTTGGCCAACCAAGTCGGGTATTCAGATACCAGCAGGAAGCCTGCGTCGATTTGCTTGGTGACCTCTTCCTTAATCTTGAGAGCCCAGTCGGGGCGAATCCTCCTGAGTTTCTGCTTAACAGGTCGGGCCTCGGGGTCCAGAGGGATCCGGTGCTATACAATCTCAGGATCGATTCCAGGCATGTCTTCGTAGGACCACGCGAAAACATCTTTGAAATCTTTTAATAAAGCAACTAAAGGCTCGCGTTCCTCTGAAGACAACGTGGACCCGATCTGGGCCAGCCGCATGTCCTCCTCAGTACCAATATTTACTGTAGTGATTTCATCAACCAGGAATTTAACAAATCTTTCCTGCTCTTGTTCAATTAAGCATTGTAAAACCGGAGGAACTTCGTCCTCGTCGTTTTTATCAAAATTTTGAAAGTCTGAGTTAATGTAATAAATCAAGGGCACAGAAAAGTACTCAGAAACCACAGCTACTTGATTCTCATTAAGCACATCCAAATCGTCCGATTCTTCGGTTACAACAGACTCAAAAGAGAAAGAAAAAGACGACTTGGACAAGACTGTGGCATCCAGGTTATCATCCCCAGGATTACCAGACTCAGACTCAATTGAGCTGGAACCTGATTCCGACTCACAAGACTCGGTGGAATCAGATTCCAGCTCACTACCTGACTCAGTGCTGCTGGACAAAAATCCCTCTTCATACTGCCAAATGAGAGAGGGTGCGATAGATGCATCCAAAATAGTTGCTGGCGGGCCCGCAGCCGTTCCATTCCCGATCACGCATACCGAGAAGTTATCCCCCAAGCACTCCTGGTCGATCGGAGGATCTAAAAGTAGACATGCCAGTGCTACCCCCATTTCAAGTTCGGTGTCCTCAGACTGCACTTTCTTACTCTGTTCAACCTCGGCTGATGGGTCTATCTGCTCTTCGGCAACGTCATCCCCGGATAACTGCAGGTCAAAGAAAATCTCAAACCCCGGCACGCGCTTCTTCTCCGCGTTCAGCCACGGCTCTGGGAAGCCGCAAAATGGAAAGTCCTCCCCCTCCCAGACGAAGCGTCCGTTTAGGGTACCCTGAATGGGCCTATTCATCAGCTCAAAAGGCTTCCCAGCCTGCTTTGCTCTGGCTCTTCCAGCCATTTCCTTTCCCTTCCTTACCCAGTCCTCTTTGGTGGGCAGATATCCCAAGCCAAAGGTATGAGGGTTGTGTGGCACTTCGGCCAATGCTGCGACGCCCTTCCGACCACTCCTTCCTAATCCCATCCCGGGGATGTGTTGTAGCTTGTTCATGAGGTATACAGATTGAGCACTGACATATACTCCCTCATTAACGGCCATGATATTCTGCACAACCCAGGCTTCAGCCAGAGTAAACCCTGATAAGAACACATCCTCCATGCCGTGGTCGATTTCCAAGACTGGTGTAGACACTTCTGGCGGTGGATGGATTGATGAATTCCCAAAAACAATGGCCACCCCCTTCCCGTGAGGGTACTTCAGCATTTGATGCAAGGTGGAAGAGACTGCTTTGACCTGGTGCAACCACGGTCGCCCCAAAAGTAGGTTAAGGGAACGTCCAAGACATGGAATTCAATGTTGTGTTATCCTGGACCAACCTGGGTCTGAATTTTGACAGTCCCCATCACCTCTCCGCTGGTGTTATCATAGGCTCTGATCACTTGAGTAGTCGGCACGAAGTCCGCGGGCTTCAACCCGATCGCATATGCCGTCCTTGACGGGCATACATTAATGGTGGATCCCATGTCGATAAGAACCACTGGCACCCACTTGCCTCTACATTCCACGGAGATGTAAAGGGGTTTGTTATGATTTGTGCCCTCAGGCGGCAGTTCTTTATCTGAAAAGGTTAGTGTCAGGGAACCTCCTCCCGAAAAGACCAGTCCAACTAGCTGCTCTGGTGTGGTATCTATAGAGAGTTTGGCCTTGTCCATAGCAGATAGGACAGCCTGTCTGTGCACTCGTGAAGCCATAAGCAGTCCCCAGATGGAGATGTCTGCTTGTATTTTCTTTAACTGTTTGAGTACAGCCTCCTCTTCAAGCTGTTTCTCCTTCTGTTTCTCAGCTTCTTTATCCTTCCCAGATACTTCTGGATGGTCTAGGTGCGGGGGCTTGAAATACCGCCCACTTCTTGTCATATGGTCGACCTCTCCGACATACCAGGTGTCATCTGGCTGATGGTTTCCCCAATCTTCATCTGTGTGGGCAAGACATAAATCATTGTCCTCCTACCACATTCCATCGGCCGCCGACAGACACCTGTCTGGCTCCGGTATGTTTGTACTCTCAGTACTTTTAGCCCACATGCCCGCAGCATCTTCTGTCTTTGTGCACACAGCACTTTCGGTCCCCTCATGGACTTTGGCTTTCCAGATTCTCTCAGAATCCCAAATCTTTTCTTGTTCTACCTGCGTTAGCGCAGTTTGTTGTTCAGCTTTCCCTGTATTCACAATGCTCCTGTTCTGAGCGAAATTCTTCGTACCGGCGCTCTCCGGCAATGTAATCTGACTTCCCACCCTTCCGGCCACAGCTAATATTCATGCCCTTGCTGGGCTCTGTTCTAGTTGGGACTCTTTCACCACATCCGGTTGATCATCCAGCCATCCAGTGGCCTCTGCCGATTCCTCATAATCAAACCAGTTGACTGCCGCGCCCCCTGATTCTTGTTCATCAAAAAACTGTACGTTGGCAAAGTCCTCCTCCACAGCCATCAAATCATTTGCCCCTTGCTCAAATTCATCCCCCTGGATCACACACAGCTCTTCCTTCTCTGGCAATTCTATACCTAGCCCAATCTGACCTGTTGACAAGATGTACTCACTCGGATCATAGACTTCCCCAGCAAAACTCTCAGGCAGTTCAATCCCAGACTCTACAATTTCATTCTTTTCTGAAGTCTGCCCTGCCCCATCTTTGATGGTCACCACCGTCGGCTCTGGTTGGGTTGTAGAGATGTCCAACATGCACAAAGAGTCGGTGCAGTCAGGAAAGAGCACCTCCGGCTTGGGTAGGAGGGATGGGGTGATATAGATACTAGGATCATAAGATGCGACCCCAGTTTGGATAAAATTGATCCTATTGGAAGGGGGAGCTTGGTTATGCGGTGGGAGAGGATTGGTTGTGACATTGGGTTTGTCGGGAGGCGCAATCACCTACTTGTCAATAAGATCCTGGATCTCGTGACGCAATCTAAAACAACGGTCGGTGTCGTGACCGTGTTGTTGGTGATACACGCAGTATTTTGCTGGGTCATGAGAGGGAGGGAGTGGATTTGGTAGTGGCCTCGGCTCCAGGGGCTTCAAATGCTTTTTCCTGATTAATACCCCTAGAGCTTTGGACAGGGGCATGTATAAGAGTGTGAAGGTTCTTTGGCCTTTGGGTTGGTATTTGGTGGTCTGTGTGTTGCTTCCGGATGCACCGGAGAAAGGCGTGGCTGCCATGGGTCTTGGAAGGGGAGGGGGAATGGTGGTGACCATGCTCACCTCTGAAGCTCTTGCAGTTGCAGCGCCACTCGGGTCTGCATTGTTGTTACGGTTGAAAGTCCTCCTTGGTTGCTCCCTATCTTGGTCGATCAGACCTTGTTTCATTGCATCTTCAATCTGTACCCCCATCTCGTGCAGATCTGAAAAAGTGGGGAAAGGGAGTACAATCATCTTTTGCATTAATTTTGGCTGGAGATTGCGCACAATCATCCTGATCTGGTCTTTATCGGTGGGCCTTAAAGTCATCATCGAGGCCTTCGCCCTCCACCGGGTCACAAAATCCGAGAAACTCTCCTTAGGCTCCTGCCTTGTTATTTCGAGATCACGAGTTGTAATCTCAATTTGGGTGTTGTAAGAGTATTGCGCAACAAAGGCTTCAGCCATTTCATCCCAACTCCGCTTGACGTCATCCTCCAACTTTGCATACCAGATTGCGGCTACACCCGACAGGGTCCGGCCAAATAGTGAAAGCTTTTGGGGTCTGGTGAGGCCCATTGGTCGTAATATATCCGAGAATAACCGGAGGTGGACCATGGGATCACCAGATCCGTCAAATTGATCGATCTGCGACATTTTGAATCTATCCGGTAGCGTCACGGCCACATCGGTATATCCGTCCTCGATATCCGGGATAGCCTTTACCCCCTGGGATTTTTTGAATAGCTTCTCGAGCTTGCTCAATTTTAGTGCTGTATGGTCTACCTCGAACTCGAAGGGAGAGTCCGGTTGAATGACAGGCGTAGGTGCCTTAGACAGCTGGGGCAGAATTGGGGGCGGAGCTGGCCCTGTTGGTATGTCTGTATCTTCCTGGACATTTGAAGCCTCTTCGGGTGCTAGGATTCCTGGTGGGGGAAGAACCAGGTGTGAAGCAGATGCTCCAAATTGTTGTTACAGCCTGGCAATTAATTTTGCTTGCTGGGCCATGATCTCGGCCTGTTGTTTGGCAAACTCATCCCGGCGAACAGCGTCCTGCTGCATGGTTCTCATGGTCTCTTGCATCTGACGCATCATTTCCTCAACTCCTGTCGGTGCCGCTGTACTGCCCTGATTTGTCTAAACTATTGGCAGGTCTATTTCTATAGCAACAATCGGGATCTCAATCTGACTGTCCACTAATGGGGTGATCCACTGCTCTGGCAACCTCTGCTCGGATACACTGCGTTTTCTTGGCCTCCGTCTGATAACTGGGGGTAGAGAGTGAAACACTGGCTGTCCGTCAACCAGATCCTCGGATCGATTGAGTTGGCGACCTCTTATCCAGGGTGCTTGGGGAATATCTACTTGGTCAGAAGCAATTGTGCTAAAACTGCCCTAGTAAAAATATAAATAAAGCAATAAGGAAGTAAACAGATAAACGGACAGCATATCAACTTAAAGTAAATGCACAACACACAGCTGGGCATAATCAACACACGGTCGATAAGCTGAACACACACTGTCCTCAATCACTGATCACTATCCCTGAATCACTGTCCCCAAAGACCGAATCTGATACCCGCAGATAACTGATTCTCAAACACTGACTGATGCCCCAAACTCACAAACTGATACATGCAACCCCTGTAGAGACACACTCTAACAACACATAACATATAATTGAGAGCCAAAACACCCCTATGTTGGGGAAGGGTTTTCCCTGTCCTATTTTGTCAGGAGCTAGGGTTTCACTACGCACGCAGCGGTTTCAAACAATCTATATCGGGTAAGCAACCTGTCCTAGTTTGGAATGGTCACTATGGATCCGAATATGCACTAGGTCGAATGGTCAAAAAGGGTGCCCCGGTAAAACCGGAGTTTGTGTTCCCATACTGGCAGAGCCCATAACCGGTCAACCTTATGGTCATGTCTTGACAAGACAAGCCTCCGGCAAACCGTTCAGGAATAGCAGATGGCAAACACGGTGTCCTAAGCGCACCAATGCAAATGCAATGCAAAGAAATACACAAGTGTAGTCAAAACAAGATATCATGAGTTCGAGTCAAGTTCTCTAAATCCCCAGTGGAGTTGCTAGAAACTGTAGACGTCCCCGAACGCCCCGGGAGGGATGGCTCCACCGTCCCGTTCGTATTGGGCTCACTACAGTTCGGGACTCTCAAATTGTCACAGTTCTTAATCTGAACCAAAGAGTCCAAATCCGGCAAATCGTTTTGAGAAAACAGATTTTGAAAGAAGTGTCAAACATGGACTGCTTTACCAGATACAGAGTCGCCACCTAAATATTTTATTTTGGAAAAATTTAGGAAACCCTGACTCGTTTGCCTAAGGCCAAGTGTCCGTCATCACCAAAGTTGCCTCGGCTCGGGAACTTAGGTACGATTGGGGAAGGTCACTTCGTGAGCACCCCCGCTCGCCCGATCAAAGATCGGCATCTACTAACCATGATATCTATTTTTGAAAACATTATGCGTTCTTATTTCGGTTATTAGCCTAGATTTATTATGTGATGCGCACAGCATACAAGTATAGACTGGATCGCCTGAATTAGAACAAAACGTTTCATGTTTGTTTATTTTGAAAATGGTTTGATGGTGCTACCCGCAAGTAGGCTAAGACGTGGATTTGCCACCCTCGGGTGGGCTTAGAAAAACATGATTTTGCCACTATCCAGTGGGCTTAAAACTCACAGTCAATGCGTTTATTACAATTCAAATAATCCAACCTTCACCCACAGGCATTCAGGCAGTTATATCACATAAGCACATAGCCTCATGGTAAGCATGCTATTCATGGCAGTCACTCACACACATGCAAGGATGCTAAAGCACAAAAACTTACCGAGTACTCCAAGCCCAAAACAGAAACTAATTAGAAATCCATACATGATCCTAACTATACAGAAATGCCTAATGCAACACATGCAAAATGCAACTATAATAGGCTCGGCTATTCTAAAGATGGCATACTAATATGTATTCAACTTGGAATTGAAAATGCAATGCAGTTAGTATGATGCGCCGAGCCCGGTGCATGCAAAACAAATGAATAAATGCAAACATGCTGTCATACTGTATGGTAATTGAAACATGCCCTAATCTAACCATCATAAGCTGGTAAATAAAAGGGAGAAAGACGTGGGGTTGGAAGATATACATCACACACACGCACACTTATTACAGTTGTGCCCTCGCGCAGAGGGTCCGAATAAATAATACAGTCCCAAATGAATAATTACAGTCCAAATATGTACAAAACCCTAATTAATTAACAAATTAAATTAGGAAAGTAATAAAATGGCGTGCAAGCCAGGGACTGCCTCAAATCTGCTCCGGATGATGAATGATGCATGCTCGGATTGCCTTTGTCGAAAAATCCCTTGGGATGTCCCAGTTTGCCTCTGTTTGCAATTGTTCTTGGGATGCGTGCCAGGCTCCGAAAGGTTGCTGATTTTTGATTTGCTGCAACAGAGAGCAACAAAGGGGCATAGCAAAGTATTTTCACATATGTATGCATGACTACTCTTCAGGGAGTGTAGTCCTCGATCCTCGTGCCACCAATCACGCATATCGATGCATGATGGTCGAGGAGTCGATTTGCACGATTTAATATGAAATGAATGCACACATAAACACAACAAGACCGAGACTCCATCATGGATAATCCAGAGTGTCGGTGACTAGAAATTGAGACACGTTCCGTCACTCGAAGTACGAAACGTCCTTCGTTTCCCATGCTCGGGCTAACTCCTATCCCAAACACAATGCAATATGCATGACATGCATGAATGCAACTAATATGCAACCTAGCATGCACAATGCTATGAAATGGCATACACGATGCAAGAGGTAACATGGCATACACGATGCGCTAACATACAACCTAGCATACACAAGGCTATGAAATGAAATGGCATACACAATGCATAATGGACTCACATCAACATGAGTGGACCTCAGCCACACTCACATCAGTAGCCATGAGATGAAAATGAGACACTCGAAATGCGTGCACACATGCACGCAAACCGAGGACCGATCCTAAGGCACAAATGCCACTCTAACAAGGCATGGCAAGGCACGAAATATGGCATACAAACATGTAAGTTTCAGCACTGAAATGTGATGCAAAATGATCCCGAAACATGGAAACATGGCACCCGATGCATGGAATGGCCTCGAAACACAAAACTAGGCATACGCATTGGCCTATAGCTATAAAAATCATGCATTATTTGATCATGAACAATGAAGAAAGATGCAAGATAGTCCCAAAACATGCATATTTCCAGTTTATAACAAGCCTAAAAAATGAACACAACTAGGGCTAATCTATCATGCAAAAATGGCCCTAAAAGAGAGATTAAACACAAAGGGACAGCATCTGGCCCCAAATGGCAAATATCTCTTCAACAAAGTTGAAGAAGGGATCAAAACAAAGCACTTTACAGTTTACATCAAGCCACAAAAATAATAACAAATAAGGCCAAACTATCATGCAAGAAAAAGACCTAAAAGAGGGGTAAAGAGACAAGTGATGGCTTCTGGCCTCAAACAGAGGAGATCCCTTCAACAATGTTGAAGAAGGGCTCAAAACAAGATATTTTACAGTTTATGGCAAGATCCAAAACAGCTCACAAATAGGCCTAAAATACTATGCAAAAATTGGCCTAAAAAAGAGATAAAGAAGCAAGTGATAACTGCTGGCCTCAAACAGAGAGAGACCCTTAATCAAACATGAAAAGAGGCTCAAAATATGACTATTTACAGTTTGGGTCGGAGCCCAAAAATGCAAGCAAGTATGGCTTAGACACAAAGCAAAATAAGGCACAAAAGAGGGAAAATGGGACTCACCCTTGTAGACCAATGCTTCAACAACTTTTGGGCCAAATTTAGGAGTTCTTCACCTCTGGAAAGCAGCCTCAAGTTACTGGAATGGAGGATGGAGGCCTTGTGCTATGAGGTGTAGGGTAAATGGTGTAGGACTAAGGGTGTTTTGAGGGTTGGGATAGAAAGAGAGAGGGATTGAATGCAAGAGCCTTAAACCAATTTTTGTAACCCTTAAAAATGCAACTGAGGGGGCTGGTTATATAGGCAAAGGGATGGAGGAAAAGGGGGAAAAATGAAATTCAAATTTCCCCCCAAAAGACCCCCCCTCGGATACAGGATCTGGGGGGGAATAGAGGGTACAGCTGGAAGGAACCAGGTGTGGGGGTCACAGCCGGCCAGGTTCAGAAGGTTCAGGGGGTCGGCCGACCACCTCCCATGGCCAGCCGACCAAGTGTCAAAGGGGGTAAGAAGAATTACTGGTCGGCTACCTCAAAAAGGTGGTCTCCCATGTGTGCACAACACAACCATGTAGTTGAAACCTAGAAAAAGTGAACCAGGAGAGAGAAAAGACCATTTTTTAGAGGGGGTCAAAAGGGTTAGGAACAATTACTGGTCAGACACCAAATATTGGTGGCCTCCTAGGTGTGTACAACACAAATATGGGGTTTAAGGTTCAAGAAAGTGGTCCCGGGGTGGTCAACATTGGCTTTCAAGTGAGGAAAACGGGCGTCGGAGAGCGATGAAGGAAAAAAAGCTGGCTTTCGGAACAATTGCTGGCCTCCCACCCTCCTACAAGCTTCCTAACTATGAAAATAAGGTCTCCACCAAAAATGAACCAAAACGGATGCAAAACGGAGGTTCGGGGGACTGAAACGCGCTGCCCAAGGCCCCGAAAATGGGCTGTTAAGCACCGGAGGTGGCGTTCGACCACGAAGTTGGTCTCTCGGGCCACAGTGTTCCTCAAAAGGGAGGAAATAAGGTGTATACCAAAAACCGGAGCAAACGGAGATGGCTAGGCGGTCCCGAACCGAGGCACACGGCCGTCGGCTCCGAAAAACCAGAAACCGGGCTCTAAACGGGAAAAATGGCCTACGACCACAAAACATAGCCTACGGCCACTGAGAGATGATCTACG